TCACATATTATTTTACGGTCACAGTTCAAAAATTTTGTAGGTCACAATTATTTCTTTGGTCACATATTTCAAATTTAGTTGGTCACATATCAAAATTTATAGGTCACACGGTCACATATTTCAAAAACTGGTTGGTCACAGATTATTTTTGAGTCACATATTACTAAATTTTTAGGTCACAGTAAGTAATCAATCACAGATTACCAAATATTTGGTCACATACTAGGGACACACAACTTCTTCAAAGTGCCATTTACTTCCATTCACAAACGGTTTGCTGCTGCTGAGTTGTAATGGAAAATCACCTCCTGGATATAACAAAGTCGATAAAGAAAATTGGCAGACAGAAATCCAACAATTTTCCCTTTACACTCTCGGCAAAACAATTTAAAATTCTAACTTGTATTCATGCAATTCAAAATTGAGTTTCTGATCCACTCTTCTCAACTTCTATTCTGAAAAGAAAAGGGTAGGATCTTATGATATTTATATATAATCAAGGGTACAGAATTTGATGAAAGTAAACCTTAAATATTTAATAGATAGCTATTTTTCCTTTCTGTGGAGACACGATTTTTGAATTAATATTTCTGGCTTCTCATAAAGGGAGACGACTATTTAAGAAAGTAACCATTTTCTCCTCGTACACATTCACAAAAGAGGTGAATTATAGAATATGGTAACTAGCTAAAAGACATGTGATGCAATGTAACTGATGGCATCTTGTAGTAAGAATTTTGAACTTGCCTTTTCATATCCTGATATTCAGAACTATGATAAAGGAGTGTTTGTCAAGTCACTAGATGGACATTTTTGGCACTTATTCACATGGGGTTGGGGGCCATAAAACTGAGGAATTTGGCATTTCTTTCTTGTTTTGTGATTTTCCGGAAGATGAATGACCGCTGGAGGCCTCTAAGTGGTGAATTGGTGATTAATCAGATATTATCTTATTTCTGTGATTCCCCTTCTGCTTATTTTTGGTTTTCATGTTCAGCTGAATCAACTTGCAATTTCAAATTTTACATAACTAAAAACCAAAGATCATAAATCTACAAACTTAACAACAAATAAAGATTTAACAAGTTATTATAAAACTCGATCTAGCATCGTGCTTTCGCTTAGCTAGAAAGTCCTTATCTTTCATCAGAGCTGATGTCCACGGTAGATAGGATAACAATTGCCCAATTGCTACGTCAATGGTCAAGTAATATTGTTTCGACTTTTCAAAAGAAAAAACGTTTGACGATGTTGGGGCAAACAAGTCCCACATCGGTTGTGGGAAGAAAAATAAATCCACCATATAATCCAAGTGGACTACTCCATCCATTATCAATTAGTTTTGGGATGGAACCTCACTGGGCCTGGTGGAGTGGGCTTGGGCCTTGGATAATTGCTCTCAATAATTCCCTAACAGTGATATCAGAGCCCAAATTGTGTGGTTAGATAAATCGAGGTGGTGGAAAATTCTCATGAGATGATAGATCCAAGGTAAAGTAGTGGGTGCAGGCTACGATGGATTATATTGGGCTTGGGTCTTGGGTAATTGCTCTCAATAATTTCCTAACAGACGATATTGCGTAACCTGCCACGTTAACGATCAAACTGTATTTTTTGACTTCTCAAAAGAAAAAAGTTTGACCATCAATAGGTGGGCATTACAAAGTGGGCTGGAGATCATTTTTGTATCTTTCATTACCAGTATTATCTTTTCACCCACAATTATTTGCAAAAAATAAGCAATAGAACTCTGGAAAAGTTTCTGCTACCAGATGTTAAATATATCACCCCGTCTTAGTTACATATAACCAAACCAATCTTGAATTGTGGCTATGTAGAAGCAATGACGGATGCCCTCAATTCTCAACGATTAAAATGTAAGTATTGAACAAAAAGTTTTAACAACCTATGGAAATTATAAAATAATTAAATATTCTCGATTGTAACAATTTCGTTTGGTCCAAGAATATATCAATACTATGTTTCTAAAGTTACCAATTTCAATACTGTATCTCTAAAATTATTCAAATTATATTTGAATTGATTGATCATTGACATATAAAAAAATAAATTAAATAAAAGATGAGGAGAAATTAATAAATGTTTCTTGAATAGCCAAAATAGAGAGTATTGCTAGATTACAGAAAAAATTAATCTTTGATTATGATATACTCTCTATTATACGTAAGATGATCTTTATAAATGTAGAATCTGTTGAAATATAATATATAAAAAAAATTGTGGTCAATATAACCATCCATTAATGAGGTTAAGGATAAGAACGTGATGAAAAAAGTTAGAGACATAAATATGACAATAAATAAAAGTTAGGAACCTATGTAAAAAATATTGCGCATTTATAAAAAAATAAAAAGAAAAAAGAAAAAAGTGATTTCATCATAATCACAATTTTCATTCCGTGCAAAATTCCATATTGCCTATGTCATAAAAATGTTTATAGATAAATAAAAATTAACTTATGTTTAAACCTAACAAACATTTTTGAAAACAACTGTAATTTATTTTATGATTTCCAAACGCGCATATCTAATTTTCTTTATGTTTTGGGTAAATTCCTCTGGGGTCCCCAACCTTTACACTTGTGCCATGATGTGTTCTAACCTTTTTGCTTAGGCCACTCCATGTCCCTAACGTTTTAAAATTGTGTATATAGTATTCAATTCGACGAAAACAATCTACGCAGAGGGCAAAGGAATACACAGTAGGCTCGTAATAAATGAACTAGGAGTATAATTGTTGAAAATTATATCTCCCAACACTTTGAATATTGTTAAGTAGATAATTTGCCTTCTGCTATGTAGAAATGCAGAGTTCTCTTCTTGGATTTATATATATTTGAGAGGTTTTCAAAGTGGATGAAAGCTATTTTTAGACAATTATGTCTATACGTCATTTATCACGTATCTATCTTGTGTCCTTTTGTCAGTCTTAATAGATGAGTTCTGTTAGGTTGGAATACATCGTGCATTATTATAAGAGGTTGAGGACATGGAGTTGGCCAAACTGAAGATCGGGGACATGAAGTGGGACAAATGGAAAGGTTAGGGATCCCATAGAAATTTACCCTTTCTTTTATTACTCCCTCTCCTACCGACCTACGAAACTTCCATAGCTCATTTCCAAACACGCCTTTAAGGAATAATCTCAAAATTCCGACCGCGTAAAACTATCATATAAAAACAAACCCGCCCGCAGTTCCCCGCCATCGGAAACCACCACTGAATCTTCCTCCCCCGCGTCCACGTTTCACACGCCTCCTTGAACCCACCAGCACCACCCCTGAAAACCGTGTGCATATGTATATATATCAAAAACCCTTTTCCATTCTCTATACATAATACATTGACTCAATTAAAACTCTTCTGTGTTCACATTTCCGTTCAGACCTCTTTTTTCACAAACATTTTCACACTCTTATTTAATGGAAATCTCTTCTTTATCATTTTTCCCAGAAGACTACTCGTCAAACTTCTGTTCTTTAAGTCAAGACCCAGACCCCAATAGTATGTCAATAAACAATACTACTAATAAGCGCCCAGGAGTTGAAATTTTTTGTAATGAATTGGGGACAGATTTACTAAGCGAACTGTTGGGTTTTAATAGTCAAATAGAAGCCCAGAAAGCAACGAAGAACGAACAATCCGTAAATTATACACATCGAGATTCCATCTCGGAGTCGAGGAATAAGCGAGCGAGTCAAGAGATGGATGAGGGTGAAAATTACTTGAATTTTATTCAGAATCAAGATGCTTTTATGGGTTCGAATTCTGGGCAATCGTCTTATGCAAAGAGGACTCGTTCGGATAGTTATGATGTGATGACAAAGTCAGATGAGTCCACCGGTGGTGCAGGTGGCAGCTCACAGCGGAGACTCTGGGTGAAAACCCGGTCTAAAGCATGGTGGGAGCAAGTTAGCAGCCCGGATTTTCCAGAAGAGGAGTTTAAGAAGGCTTTTAGGATGAGCAGAGCAACATTTGATATGATTTGTGAGGAGCTCGAATCAGCCGTGACGAAAAAGGACACAATGCTGCGGTTGGCAATTCCGGTTCGCCAGCGTGTGGCCGTGTGTATATGGAGATTGGCCACGGGTGAGGCTCTTCGTGAAGTTTCGAAGCGTTTTGGGCTGGGAATTTCTACCTGTCACAAGTTGGTTCTTGAAGGTTGTTCTGCTATAAAGAGTGTGCTAATGCCAAAGTTCTTGCAGTGGCCAGATGAGAATAGAATGGAGGAGATTAAAAGGGAGTTTGAATTTGTTTCCGGGATACCAAATGTGGGTGGCGCAATGTACACAACACATGTTCCTATCATTGGTCCAAAGGTTAATGTAGCGGCTTATTTTAACAAGAGGCATACAGAAAGGAATCAGAAGACTTCTTACTCGATTACTGTTCAAGGTGTAGTTGATCCTAGGGGAGTTTTTACAGACATTTGTATTGGGTGGCCTGGCTCAATGACTGATGATCAGGTGTTGGAACAGTCCGCCCTTTCCCAGAGGGCGAGTCGAGCAGTTTTGAATGATGTTTGGGTGGTTGGGAGCTCAGGGTATCCATTAATGGATTGGGTTTTGGTTCCTTATACTCACCAGAATCTTACCTGGACGCAACATGCTTTGAATGAGAAAATTGAGGAGGTTCAAAGGGTTGCCAAGGATTCTTTTATGAGATTGAAAGCAAGGTGGAGTTGCCTTCAGAAGAGAACAGAGATGAAACTTCAAGATCTTCCAGTAGTTCTTGGGGCATGCTGTGTTTTGCATAACATATGTGAGATAAGAAATGAGGATTTGAGTCCAGAGTTAAGGTTCAACCTATTTGATGATGAAATTATCCCCGAGAACAATTTGAGGTCGATTAATGCTATGCACGCGAGAGACCAGATTGCTCATAAGCTCTTGCACCATAATCTTGCTGGCATGAATGTCCTGTGATGACAAAGTTCTGACCTTTTTGTACCCTTCTAGCTATTCAATTCTTTTGTGGCTTGTTCTAGTCATGTGATAGAATAATTAGATCCAAATATTTCTTTGATTTATTGTAGAAAATCATTTACCTTTTAATAAATAGACGAATAGCTTGTGACCCGTGTTGCAGATTCCATTGATTCGAAATTCCCATTTTCTGTTATTCTATAGGATTGTGATTATTTATGGAAAATTTATTCTGGAACTACTGTATGATTCCATGTAAATGGCTTCAAAAGAGGTTTGTTTATACGATTTCATCTAGAGATCAGACTACACACAAGTTTTTACACCACAATCTTGCAAGGTGAATTTTGCCATGATGATTGAGTTCTCAATTCTTCGTAGTTTATTTTAGTGATTCAATTATTTTGTGGTTTGTGTCCTGTAACAGAATAACTGCATCAAACTGATTCTTTGACTCGACGTGAAAAATCCATTTGCATTCTATGATACATGAATAATTTCTTCTTATCATCACAAGATCAATTAATAGCTTGGAGTTTTAATTGCGTATCATGATAAAGAAATTATACATCATAAATTTTAACGTAAATCATTGGTGTATTAGTTCAGAAGAGGTCCAGGTCCTGTTTAAAGATTGAAAGGAGGAAGATGATGTAATGTTTTCAAGTCAAGATTGAAGGTGTCTGGAAAAGGTAATTTCTTGCATAACCACACTAGATTAGTTCAACAATGTAAATCTTAAAACGTGGTTGAAGATGACTGTTGTTTCTTTCACTGGTTTCTCTTATACAGTCTATTATGCTAGTACAGACGCTTATGCTAAACCAGTGTGCCCATAATGATATGCAACCTTAAAAGGATTTTTTGAAACTTTGTTCCCATTTTCTACTGAAAGTTGATATCTGACACTCAGTAAGGATTTTGTTTAATTTCTGTACCATGTTCTGTTGGACAACTACTTTTCTTGCTCTGGGTTCTGATTATCTGTGAGGCCTTTGTGGTGTGAAGTCTGAACACTTGCTTTGGCTGATTTCTTGAGTCAAAACATACATTTATGGCACTTTTGTATTATTTGTTTACAATGCCAGAAATTTTTGTCTGGCTCCAAAGTTGTATGGTTGTTAGATGAATATACAAGAGACAATTGATGGGTTGACTATTCTATGAATACATTTATTATCCGAAGCATTAGATGAGTCCTGCCAGATTTATCCCCTCTGCGTTCATTAGATAAAGGTTTCAATCACAATCAAAGGACTGACTAAACTTTGATTGACTTCAAAGGACTGACTAAACTTTGATTGACTCTGCAAAAATAGGTTTTATTCTTTGAACTCACAAGATTTGAACTCAAGTTGTTGGGATTCAGATTCTTAGGATTCAGATTATCTGTGAGGCCTGTGTGGTATGAAGTCTGAACACTTGCTTTGGCTGATTTCTTGAGTCAAAACATACATTTAGCCCCCATTTGATCTACATTATTATCTCATTAAAATGAAAAATATGACCGTTATCCATCACATCAACATTTAAATTCAAATTTTCTATCTCTTATGTGGGCCCCAATAACAGCTATATTTTTCATTATCATTCTACAATAATTTAGTTCAAACAGGGCCTTATACTTTTGTATTATTTGTTTACAATGCCAGAACTGGTATGGTTGTTAGATGAAGATACGGGAGACAATCGATAGGTTGACTATTCTATGAATACATTTATTATCCGAAGCATTGGATGAGTCCTGCCAGATTTATCCCCTCTGCATTCATTAGATAAAGGTTTCAATCACAATCAAAGGACTGACTAAATTTTGGTTGACTGCAAAAATTTACTCTTGATTTATATTTGTTTTGTTTTTCCTTTTTTGCCCTTCATTTGACTTATGTCAATACTATCTTTTTACACGTCAACTCTTCTGGCAAATTGGATTAAACTTGGATATTGAAGATGTAGGGATATTGACGAATGTTAGAACTGGATTAGTGTGCAGTGCTAGTTTAGTTCATGGTTTCGGTTAAATGTGTATATCATGATTATGGTAGGATTATATTTCTCATAGGAATATTCGATTTGTAGTAAAACAAGGACAGACGGGGAAAATCATGATGAGATTTCGTTTTTTAATTAGCAATAACCTGTATGGCATGTCTTTTAAACTTCAATGGACAGGGTAGATGCATTCACAGAGAAAGCAGTGATCGAGACTAGGAGTCAGTATGCAGAAGTTTTGAGAAAAATTCCCAGAGGATCATTGAAAGTCAAGAAGAGCGCTTAAAGTGTAAGTATGAAGAAATCAAGGTGTTGGTCAGCTGTAAGTATGAAGAAATATGGTTTCATCTGTGTGATACAAACGTTTCGTCTTGAAGTAAAGGGACACTATACTCCATAGGCCTGTTTAGACAGGTAGGAATAGGAGAATGGCTACTGGTAATAAAGCACAGGGTAATACAAGCCAACCAGAAGTCGGGGGTTAAACCGCCTTCATTGTTGCCTATATAGCTTTCTAGAGCAAAGATTCTTTTACCAGCATGTAGGTGGTCTAAATTCTTGAAGAGTTCTCATTCACGACTGACTAAGCATTCATTCGGAGTTGACATGGGAGAGGGCTTACTTTCCTTTACATGTCTTTTAGGTATCAAGCCTCGATGTTTATGTTTATATTGATCACAACATGACGAAGAAAGTCATCGAAGGAATTGTTCTCCACCTGGAAGCTACTTCACCATATTCATAATTCCATATTCATCCCCTTTCTGCTTTGTAAGGCAATAAACCAACGGAAGCACAAATCAACAAGATTACAGAACAATATCGCACAAAGCAAGAAACAGATTCTTATTGCATTTTTGGGCCCATAATAGTCACATAAACATTGTACCCTTCTGTACAAAACAACAGCCACAAATACCCAATCCCTAATCTAAACCACACTGGTTGACTATTCTATGAATACATTTATTATCCGAAGCATTAGATGAGTCCTGCCAGATTTATCCCCTCTGCATTCACTAAATAAAGGTTTCAATCACAATCAAAGGACTGACTAAATTTTGGTTGACTGCAAAAATTTACTTTTGATTTATATTTGTTTTGTTTTTCCTTTTTTGCCCTTCATTTGACTTATGTCAATATTATCTTTTTACACGTCAACTCTTCTGGCAAATTGGATTAAACTTGGATATTGAAGATGTAGGGATATTGACGAATGTTAGAACTGGATTAGTGTGCAGTGCTAGTTTAGTTCATGGTTTCGGTTAAATGTGTGTATCATGATTATGGTAGGATTATATTTCTCATAGGAATAGTCGATTTGTAGTAAAACAAGGACAGACGGGGAAAATATGATGAGATTTCATTTTTTAATTAGCAATAACCTGTATGGCATGTCTTTTAAACTTCAATGGACAGGGTAGATGCATTCACAGAGAAAGCAGTGATCGAGACTAAGAGTCAGTATGCAGAAGTTTTGAGAAAAATTCCCAGAGGACCATTGAAAGTCAAGAAGAGCGCTTAAAGTGTAAGTATGAAGAAATCAAGGTGTTGGTCTGCTGTAAGTATGAAGAAATATGGTTTCATCTGTGTGATACAAACGTTTCGTCTTAAAGTAAAGGGACACTATACTCCATAGGCCTGTTTAGACAGGTAGGAACAGGGGAATGGCTACTGGTAATAAAGCACAGGGTAATACAAGCCAACCAGAAGTCTAGGGTTAAACCACCTTCATTGTTGCCTATATAGCTTTCTAGAGCAAAGATTCTTTTACCAGCACGTAGGTGCTCTAAATTCTTGAAGAGTTCTCATTCACGACTGACTAAGCATTCATTCGGAGTTGACATGGGAGAGGGCTTACTTTCCTTTACATGTCTTTTAGGTATCAAGCTTCGATGTTTATGTTTATATTGATCACAACATGACGAAGAAAGTCATCGAAGGAATTGTTCTCCACCCGGAAGCTACTTCACCATATTCATAATTCCATATTCATCCCATTTCTGCTTTGTAAGGCAATAAACCAACGGAAGCACAAATCAACAAGATTACAGAACAATATCGCACAAAGCAAGAAACAGATTCTTATTGCATTTTTGGGCTCAGAATAGTCACATAGATATTATACCCTTCTGTACAAAACAACAGCCACAAACACCTAATCCCTAATCTAAACCACACCGGTTACTCAATGGCTCGAAGACAAATCATAGCCAAAACCGATTTGCCCCTCTCACGCACAAACAACCACAAAGGTAACTAATCACCAAGATTATCAAAGGATTAAAACCAGTAGTTAAAATCCAACCCAAGATTCACTAAGAAAGGGAGAAGAGATCACAAAGAACTCAAAGCACAGAGGACATCCATAAGCTTCCAGAAACGCGAGAGAGGGAATGAAGAGAGTCTGCCAGGAATGACGCTCCAGCTGGTATATATAAAAGCCCAAGCTAAAGGGCCAACAAATCAGCCCATTTATCAAACGGACTAGAGCAGCTCAAGGGGGTAACCGATTGGGCTGGGGTTTGGGCCAATTGCTTTGTGTTATCAGGCAATGGTTTTAGTCTCAAAACATTCCAGCACTATTGGGCCAAGCCCATTTCATCATTGCCCAGTAAGTTGAATATAAATGACAAAATTGGCATCAATATTCAACAATCTCCCCCTTGATGCCAATGTCATAAACCACCAAACATATTAGTGATTCATAACACCAACACCAAGAAGATTAGTACCTGCAAAACACAAAGTTAACCGATATCAATACTTAGAATTTGCAAACACGAATTAAACTTGGAAAGAGGTAATACCTTTTGTTCCCATATCCAAGGGATTGAATTGTGTAGGGATTTTCTCAAACAAAATAGATTCACATAACAAGCATTTAAGTCACAAAGACTCTTTTATAGCTTTAGTAGTAGATAAGACAATAATAGACTGCAATTGAGACTTCCAACTAATGCAAGTATCACACAAAGTAAACACATATGCAGTTATAGATTTCATAT